ATGGAAATTTTAAAATTTAGAGTCTCTTAAATGCCATTTCCTGGACTTTGGGGAATATTTAACAGAATTCTGATGGTCAGAAAACAGCGTTTTAGTATGTCGAAATTTACAATTCAGTAGTACTAAATGGGCGAAGGCGTATTTAACTATATATTGGATAAGTTGCATGAAAGTATGGGTAACATCTTCATTCTTTGCAGTTTGTCATGGATTAAATGATAAAGGTCAGCATGATTTTGAAAAATGAATGATTATTAGTAGGGTGATGCGGTTTCGTAAAATAACCGAAACTGAGAATCGTCACAAAATAACCGAGATAACCTACTCTTTTAATCAATGAAATTATTTTGACAAAAATAAACAACATGTCTTGTGTGTTATCCATGTGACGTCTTCGCAGACGTCCGCCTTTCTCTTAGCTAATCAAACCGGAAGCTTTAAGCTTGTTTTGATCCGCTTTTAATCCGCCATTTGAGTCGCAGCGCTTTTCTAGGCTTCTAGCATTGATTTAAATCGCGTAATCACCAAAGAGTACAACGTAGCTTGCTTATAGTTTTATGTTGATCACATGTAGCACGCTTGTTTGGCTTTTTATTTTGAATTTTATATTTTGAATCGGTTTTTCGGTTAGTCGGTTATCTGATATTTAGAAGACTCGTGAAACCGATCTGTAAAAATAACCGATTCATCTCGGTTAACCGAATAACCGCATCACCCTAATTATTAGCAAATTATTATCGGTTGCTATGGCCCTGCATTATAAAAGCGGAAACCTTATTTTGAAGTATACTATCTAGCGATCACCAAATGATTTTATTATCAATGCATTGTCATGCAATTAGAAGTTAAACATGATAGATTATTAGACATATCCATTCTGCTACAGCCAGACAGCAAGTTTCCTTGATTCAAATTGAGAGAAAAGTCCCGAAGGCACCCATGTGCGTTGTGCGCCCGCACCTCGCTACAACTGTCCGCATTTGCACTTTTGTGTTAGTTATGTTATTTTGTGCACCTGCAGGCCTCGAAATAAATCTGGACGTTATACCGGTCATTATGATCGGTGGATCACCAAATTTACCGGTCACAGCGGAAGTTATGCCGGTCCAGCATTGTCACTCCTTAGCTTTTTTTCCCCTCATCTGTCGCGTGACTCGTAACTTTAGAAACAACTGTGTATTTTAATTGTATTTGCCTACAAAGTAGAAGTATGGCGTTTATCAAAGCTGTAGTAGTAATCATTACTAATAACATTAACATTGTTTGCTAGCAAATTAATATATCAAGTCCCAAATGACAACTGTAGTTTGAGTTGCGAGCATGCTTTAAGGCTGCATTCCAGTTACGTGTGCGTACACGCATGTAAAAGTTGAATCGCTTTACATCCTACTTATGAAATAACTAAATTTATTTAAGGACGGCATTCAGTTTTGTGTATGATTTAATGTGTATTTGTTAAGGTTATTTGCACTTATATGAAATTTTAAAAGATTTTTTAAACTTTTCCGTCGCATGTGTGAAAAACGGGTAACTGGTCAGTATCGTATCTGTATGACAAAATGTGTCACTTCGCCGCCCTTATTAGCCTGCACATATAAAAAATCTGCTCCATTTTTGAACATACTTTTTTATTAAAAGAATTAGCGGTCACGCATGTCCGCCAGGCGACAGTATTTGCCGGTCAAACTGTGAAATTTTACCGGTCAGTGACCGGCACTTATTTCGAGGCCTGCGCATCTGCAAGTCATTTTACGCACCCGCACCTATTATACCCAAGCTTTCCGCACCCAAGATCTCGGCAAAAAGTGCCCAACTCTGCAGTCTGGATTAAACAAAGTAACCGGCAGTAAACCTTGTAGCACCTGCCGAAGCTGCGGCGACTTATTTTGAAAGTAAAATTGTCTGCTATTAGACAAGTAAAAAAATAAGTAGGGCACATTGCGGCTCAAATATGGGTTTATAATCATGGTGTGTAATTGCACCACCTTAACTTTATACCACGTTTTTGATGTGTGAATGTGTCCAGTAATTACTCATGTACATTAAAATGTTTAATTTCCAAACTATTGCTTCATGTACATTCAAACAGATCATAACCTATACATAACTACATCACAAGTTCAAATGCCACTAAACAAAACATATACAGATATACTATTAAAATCATAACAGAACTAGGCTATTAACTAGCACTTTCACCAAAGTAAAAGCATGTCAAACATAGACAAATAGTTTCTAACCTTTATGCTGTCCAGTAACTCGATCTTTCAAGATAGATAACTCTTGTACCTCGCCATAAGGTTCAAATATCGGCCTAAGTTGTTCAGTTTCCCAGTTCCTAGGTACTTGGCCGACAAATAGTTTTATCGGCTCTGTTTGACCATTTACCATAGAGCTTACGTCCATATTACAAAGATAAAGTACAAGACAGTACGTAAAAATACTCGACAAGGACAGTACGAGTGGACGGAAGACAAAAACCTCACTAAAACACACCAAGATTGACACAAAACTACACTAGTTTCATCGCCATTTTGTACTATTAAATATTTCCCAGAAGTCACATGGAGCGCTTTAGGAGGGATATTCAGGGATAACTATGGCGAATTGTGTATCACTGAATACGAGCGGATAGTACCCCCTCC